AGGCCTCTCCCAGTCAGCTCCCTGGAACACATCATCCACCGAGAGGGCGTGGGGTCTCAGGCAGAAGGCGCGGGTTGTTTGATTGTGGGTTTCAGACCCATTTTCCTGCACGATTCGGCCGGCAAGCTGGCTTTCCTTTCTAACACCCCTTGGGACGTGGTCCCTGGTAAAGTCTTGCGATTTCCCAGACCCTGCGCTGAGGTTTTTGGTCAGCACTTTTTTGTGAGGGGCAAAGGAGAAAGACATGGAGTGCTTTTTAATTTCTCTGCTGGGCTTGCCTTTTTCTGTCTTTGTGGTGAAAGACTGATGTCTGCTGAAGAAATTTCTTTTGGGACTGGAAGGAGAAGCCATGGGCGAGCTGTCAGAGGACGCGTCCAGCGAGCTGCTGGAGAAGGCTTTGGGAACCAGTGCCCTTGGGAGCACCGAACCCGGGGTCAAGTTCTTGATCTTCAGGTCCACCGGCCTCTTGGTTTTGCCTTGCACTGCAGGGAAGACTTCCTCTGGAAATGGGTCTTCAGCCTCCTCCCTTTCCAAACGAGAGCCTACCTGGGGCACGGGGAAGTCCCCTTCACTCTTTGTTAGTGTTTGGTTTGTCACCCGGCTCTCAAGGCACTCCTGGGAGGACGGCATGCTGGGCTCTGAGTACCTCCTATCGGGCTGTGCGAGGGAGCTTTTCAGCCTGGCCACGGTGCTCACAATGGGCTCTGGGCTGACCTCTCGGGCATCCTGTGGGCCCCCACTATCAAAGCCAGTAGCTGTGGCCATGGGCACCTGGGGCTGCCTGCTGGGAGAGCTGATGCCACTGCTGCTGTTGGATTCCACATCAGGATCGTTGCTGTCGTAGGCTGAGTCATTCTGCAGGGTCGACACATCTGGGGGAAGTCAAGGAGCAGTTGAACATTTGTTTGGGTTTATTTATTTATTTGTATTTGTATTTTTTTTTTTTTTTTTTTTTTTTGAGACAGAGTCTTGCTTTGTTGCCCAGGCTGGAGTGCAGTGATGTGATCTCGGCTCACTGCAACCTCCTCCTCCTGGGTTCAAGCAATTCTCCTGCCTCAGCCTCCAGAATAGCTGGGATTACAGGCGCCCACCACCATGCCTGGCTACTTTTTCTATTTTTAGTAGACAGGAGGTTTCACCATGTTAGCTAGGCTGGTTTTGAACTCCTAATCTCAGGTGATATGCTTGCCTTGGCCTCCCAAAGTGCTAGGATTACAGGCATGAGCCACCACGCATGGCCATTCAGGTTCTTTTAGAAATGAACTTTGCTACAGTTCGCCCTGCTCATACCAATCAGGGCACTAGGTGATTTATTAGCAGAACTACTTAGGGGCTTGATATGGCAAGAAATGTACCATACGAAAAGTTTGTTTCTTTCTGAATTTATTTTGAGATCAGAAGAAAAATAGGGAAAGGAAATGAGTAAAGGAGAGAGGAAGGAGAGAAAGAGAGGAGAGAATAAGAAAAGAGAGAGCAGCATTTCACTGCAAATTTATTGACCTTAATTTTTAAAACTGCTCCTTTTACTAGATGCATTTCCATTGTAATGGAGTCGTATCCCATGAAGTGGAAACAAAAGTTTCTCACCCAACTCCAGAGCTAAAGGTAGCTTAGTGAAATCAGCAGCGATTTGCGATGAACACTGGGAAGGGGCAAAGACTATCTGCGGTCTGAGAGGCGCTGCAGGAAAAGCCCGGAGCAGGGTTTTCATGTTTAATGACTTCCTAATGGACTGGAGTCTAGTCTGACTTGGGGATTTGTGAAGGTAACTTCTGCCTCATACATCAGAGATGCTTTCCATGACTGGCAGACTGGCATGAACTTTTCCCTACAATCGTAATCAAATGATAGCACATTCCATACCTGAACTGTCAGTGTGCTCCAGGGAGTCAACAGAAGTGATACTGGAATGCACTGGAATGTTCTCTCCAAATATTTCAAAGCAGTTATCAATGAGGAATTCCACCAGTGTCTTCACCTGTGAGGAAAAGTAAGCAATTTGTCAGCCTGAAGACCTTTTTTTTTTTTTTTTTTTTTTTTTTAAGGGAGGTGAGGAAGAATGGGGACACAGTGGAGTCACGTGCCAAAATGAGAATTTGAGATCTTTATGTGTCTGAAAAGAGCATACCGAAATTTGGTAACAATCAGATACTTCTTATTTTTGTGAGACAGACTCTCACTCTGTCACCAGGCTGGAGTGCAGTGGCGCGATCTCGGCTCACTGCAACCTCCACCTCCCGGGCTCAACCGATTCTCCTGCCTCAGCCTTCCGAGTAGCTGGGACTACAGGCATGTGCCACTAGGCCCGGCTAATTTTTTCTATTTTTAGTGGAGATGGGATTTTGTCATGTTGCCCAGGCTGGTCTCAAACTCCTGAGCTCAGGCAATTCGCCTGCCTCGGCCTCCCAAAGTGCTGAGATTACAGACGTGAGCCACCATGCCAACAATCATACACATTAAAGTTAGATACTCCTTGGTGTTTTGAGACACGCATTTAATCTAAGAACATACAAAAAATTAAAGTATTAATAACATTTTCATTTAAGTAGTTTCTCAGATCGATAGACTGATAGACTGTGGTGTACAAAACACAAAAACAAAAGGGTTTTTTTTATATCGGGAGAGAGTGATGTAAACACTCGCAGCACTCATCTGTCTCACAGATGACAGAAGACACAGATTTATTCAGTTTCATTAGATAAGTGTATCTGAGGGAGTGGAACTATGACAAAAGCATTTTGCAGTTGATATTTTCACTGTGAGGGTGAGTCAGTTGGAGACATTCAGAAGCATTTTATTGCCTGCATTTGGCAAACAGATGCTGAGATCATAAGTTGGGGATTTCTCATCAGTAAGCAGAACAAACCTTGTTGTTCAGGTCCTTCTGGGCTTCAAATGACAGACACTGGTCATTCTCCAGGGTGAGCATGTTGGGTCCAATGCAGATGGCCAGGTTGCTGGAGTCCATCCTGTTGACCTCAGAGTTCTTGCTGATGAGGTGCAGCACATAGACCAAGTGCTTGAGCAGCAGGAGGTTGGGCCGGGGGAGCTTATCTGCAACCCTGGAATAAAGTGAAGGGATGTTAGTTTTCAAAAAGGCTAATGGTCTTCAGTGTAGCAAGCTGAGAGTTTCTGCCGAAACCAGACTTCCTTTAAAATGAGGAAGGTGCATTTTCACAAGTAATATTGTGAAATGCTCATTCAGACACTTCCAGTGGCAACTGACACAGAGTGAGGCTGGTTAACCGCAAGGTCTTGAGGAGCTAAGAAACTGGCCTTTATAATTGGGACACCAATAACCCAGCCCTTTATTATTTATACAGAGCTTAAATTATGAAGCCAATCTGCATTAAAGACCAGAATTTGCATTTATATTTAGAAAATAGTTTTGTTGAGTAATCATTTAGCCATGTAGAATTTCTTTCTGTTTCTAACACGGCTAGACTGGTTTTCTTGCCTTAAAACAAAAACAAACTATAACCACCAAACGAAGACAACACATTTTTACAACATTCTGAGAAATCTTTATGAAGACTAAATCAGTTTCTTTTTTTTTTTTTTTTTTGAGACGGAGTCTCGCTCTGTCGCCCAGGCTGGAGTGCAGTGTTCTGATCTCAGCTCACTGCAAGCTCCGCCTCCTGGGTTTATGCCATTCTCCTGCCTCAGCCTCCCAAGTAGCTGGGACTATAGGCGCCCGCCACCTCACCCGGCTAGTTTTTTGTATTTTTTTTTTTTTTTTTTTAGTAGAGACGGGGTTTCACCGTGTTAGCCAGGATGGTCTCGATCTCCTGACCTCGTGCTCCACCCGTCTTGGCCTCCCAAAGTGCTGGGATTACAGGCTTGAGCCACCGCGCCCGGCCAACTAAATCAGTTTCTAAGGGCATATTCATAATAAGGCAGCACTTCAATCACAACATTGTTCCTAATGATAAGAAATTAGACTTCTTAAAGTCTATTTTTCAAAAAATGAAATGGTGATTCTTTTCATTTCTCAGAAGAAGGAATTGTTATAAAAATGCTTTATGTCTAGGTGGAAACTCATGGTGATAATCTTAGAATATTCATTTTGGGACAGACATTTTAATGTCTTCACTTCTATACATATGTCATTGAAAATATTTAGCCATGTGGGACAATTATAACATATAGATAGACTTTCATAGGATGTGATAACCGTGCTGACATTTCAAAGCTTGGGTTTTAGAATTCTCTAGTCACTAACAGATCACACTTTCCATTGCATATGTTATTATTTTTACTCTCACTGGAATTTGTTACTATATAGTTTTCATTTTGGTTAATTATAAGAGGATTAAATATGCTATGAAATTTTATGAACAAAACAACCGTCCCCCCACCCCATTGCCTGGCTGCATCCTGAGGGATGTTTTGTGGGAGAACTGTTGCCTTGCATGACACCAGTCAATGTAGCTTAAAGATAACCCCAAACTCCTACACTTTGCTGGCAAGCCTGTGTTACAGTTTTCAGGTCTGATTTTATCTCACACTTTTTTGAACAGCTTACATTTTCAGACTTCCCTACCTCTTGGAATTTGTGAGGATTGAAATTCACTTCCTACGTTTGGAAGAAATATTTCCTTTCATCTGGCTAAAATTAAAATTCAAAAGTCCAGGGCACCCTCTGGTTTTTATTCTGGGAGTGGACAAGCAATTCCACTCAGATTCCCTAAACATCACAATTCTCATGAAACAGGGATCATGAAGCATTTACAAAGTTATGTAAAGAATCAGAAGACGGAGGCGATGCGGCCTGGCAATCACCGATGACTTGGATGAAACTTACTGTTTCAGGGCCTCGATTCTGTCCTCCTCGTCCTGCATCTCCAGAGCACCCATCCACTCCTCAAAGAGGTCGCTTGAAAGTAGCTTCCGGGGGATACTTCTGAGGAAGTCCTGGGGGATGAGAGCGGGCTATTGGCCTTTTGGTACTGTGTGATGTCCCATGTCTTCGTTTTCACCTGGGTTTCGTTCCATCGCAGGGTGCTGTGTGCCTAGCCCATCATAGATGGTGCCCCTTCATTCCTGCATCTGATGAATCCAGGGAACCCTCTCTGCAACACCCTTGGCCTCTCTGCGACTTTCTAACATCAAGCAGAGTCAGAGGCACCATCCCCAGGTGGGTGTGTTCTGAGGGGCCACTGGATTTTGGCTTGTGGATTCTGCCATGGAACAATCAAATTGCCCGTTGTTGGCAAAGTTTTGGGAGAGCAGAATGCATTGCTTTCTGTTGGAATCTGAGGTCACAGAAACAGAGGTGCGTACTAAATAAATAAATAAAGGGCTTAATGAAAAACATTAAACTCCAAGATCAGTGTACCTTGCTGTGTGGGGAGAAGAGCCTATTTCTTGCATCCTGAGAACGAGTGTGCCAGGGCCCCTTGGCAGGTTATTTGGCGCAAGCGTGTTGAACTCACCTTAAAGACCACAGCGAGGAGGTGCACGGGGAGGCTCTCCAGATCCACCGCATCCCCAGAGTTGAGCTCCTCCTTCAGCTCCTTGCGGGCTTTCTCGTTGGCTGCTCTCCTGAATATCCCTTCCGTTGAAGGGCCTTTAAGGCATAGAATAGTGAGAATGTCCTAAAGGAAACAGCAATAGGAACAGGAAAGGGTTACCCTTGGTTCGAAGATACACACTGTGCTGCTACTAATGCATGAAGATCTATGCTTAGGCTGCAGAAAGAATTAAAATAATGTACATGAATAGTTTCTAACTTTACTTGTCATAAAATATCATCTCCCTAAAAGTTAGTTATATTCTCTAGTATACTGAGATAGTCTTACCAGGAATACTAATGTCAGATTTTGCTTCAGTTCAGTTGCTATCAATGGCCTTCCTCAACCCTGCTATTTTTCTAAGAGGAGGCAAATTGTGAAAGCTCTAATTTTGCACTTTATAAAATCACTTTGGAGCTCTCTCCTTTCAAATACTTCCATATGAACACTGGATTTTGGATCATGAAGTCTATATTCTGTTTCCCCTTTAGACTTTTCAGAAGCTACAAATCTTCAGCATTCTTCACTCTGTGAAGTCAGAGAAATGGAGGGACCATAGCTCTGAGCTCATTGGCAAATACAACTAATTTCAATTTCTGGAATGGAAGCAGTCAGATATTCTTCTAACTGCATGCGTATGTGGGAGTGCCATGTCGAAGAGTGGAAAATATGGAAGATCAGTCCCTACAAACTTCACAGGAGAATGACATTCAGATTTCCCGAGTATTTTGCATGTCCAACTGAAAACTGAAGTAGGTTTATGAGAAAATGCATGCCTACCTGGATGGGTCTGGGGAGTGTGTCGCTGCCACCACAGATAATTGACAAGGGCTGATCAAATAGTGATGCTTTCAAGTCTGTCTCCAAAGCCCCGGAAAAATCTGATGCAGGGGAGAGCCTCCTCATGAGAAAGGGCCAGGACAGCACCTTCTTTCTCTTCTTAACTTCTACAGCCAAGAAAACAAGGCAACGAGAAAAATTAGACTACGGTGTTAATACGCAAAGATCCAGGTAAGAAAATGGGTATCGTTGGCCACATAATGTGGTCGATAGTATATGCCATGTGAGAAAAATAATTTTGAAAACTTAAGAAAGCAAAGGGCGTGAATCTTAATCTAGAAAAACCAACCGATAAACAACCACACTGTTACCAGGGCAACCAGTTCCCTAAACAGCAACACCAGGGTTCCTCAAAGCCTCCACCTTTCCTGTTTTCACTCTTTCCAGCTGTTTGCTACAGAAAATTAGTAAAACCTAACTGTGCAGATCATAAACAACCATCTTAACCTACTGGCCTGAATAACTATAGAGGAAATTTCTGATATGAAATAGATTATTTTGATTTCCTCCTCTAATTGGCGAAGAAAACGAAACTTAAAAGGTGAGGAAGTGACTTGCTCAGTATCTCTTCGAAGGCACATAGCAGGGCCGGCTCCAACCCTTTGCAGCCTCGCAGGCACTACATAGCCACTAGAGGGAGCTAACACCATTCTTCCTTCCGGGTGACTGGTCACCTGGGTTTTCCAGGTCGCTGCTTTAGGACAGAGGCAAATACGAATCGCTGCAGGAAGGTCTGAACCTACATCTGGCAACTGGAAATTATCAGCAAAACGTTATCAAGATATTCTGTCCTTCCAAAATCCACAAGATGTGTGTGCAATGGATATTGCAATCTCAAAAGTTTCCTTCTTTCTTTTCTTTTCCTTCCTTCCTTCTTTTTTTAAAAACTAATTATAAAGGCTATATTTTCTAAATGCATTGCCATATGTTTCTGTACATTTTAGATTGGCAAGTGGAAGCGTGATGAGAAAGAAGTGGCCTGTCTTTATGGTTCAGGAGAACTGGGTCAGGGTTGTGCTGTAATGAAATGCATTATGAAAAAAATTGAGAGCGAATGGTGGGTCCTTTGGGATTTGAGATCAGCCACAGTTGCTTCATAGGCTCTTGGATGCATTCTCCATAAGAGAAGGAAGAAAACGGAAAAGACGCTGTGTGTTTTCAAATGTGTGCATGCTAACTGTGGAAACATCCATGGCCAGGAGACGGAACCGCATTAAAAACCCTTGGCAGAACTGGGGGATTCTCTGTGGAGGGGCTCTTTCCGCTCGCAGCACTCCCGGCTCTAGTGAGTTGGAGCACACCTGCCACTTAAGGGTTAATGTTCTGCGGTCTTTAACAGAACACTTATACAAAAAAATTCCTAGTAGAGTAAAAACGCTGTGGTTTTGCAAACCAAGAACGCTGGTTGTTAGCACTTACATAAAAGATCAGTATGTTTTCAAAACTCACCAATGAGCTGGCAAATACTGTCTTCACTCTCACATGATGCCAACAGGGGATGTTCCTTGATGTCACCCTAAAAACATTTTTATTTCAGTTAAATATAGTGACTGAAGAAACTTACCAAGTGTTTCCCCACAAAACACACATACAACATTTTATTCATATTAAAAATGAAGTCAGTAGAATGCATTGATTTTTTTCTAGCTTCTAGAAGCAATATTAAAGTCTTGATTGTCATCATATAAGATCCTAATTAATGTGTTTAATTTACTACATGTGTGATGTTAATTTACGACTCTGATAATTAATATTCAACCCAAATAATATTCAATAAAACAAAGTTTTCCACCTTCTCACAGTACAGATAAAAAGTTTCAAAAATTGCTTTCTTACCTCTGATTGACATTCGATTAGCGTCTCCATATTACTGGCATTTAGTGTTTTTGACTAAAAGAGAAAAAATTAGGTAAATATATTTTGGCCCTTGCCTCTAGGAAACGCGAATTAATAAATGTGAGAGTGTCACTCACAGCATTGTGGCTGCTTCTCAGCTTCATCAGTATTGGGACTGACTGTCCGGGGGTGAATGTCACTCCTGTGCGGCTGTGGCTCTGTCTACAACGAATCATATGGAAAGGAGTTAGGAGGAACACACAGTAGGTTGGCCACTTTCAGCACCACTTTGCCAAAGCACAGAGTTTGAAACTATTTATTTATTTTTCTATTTTGCTACTTTTTCAATTGCCTTTACTTTGGAAAAAAAACTATTACATAGACAAGTTTTCATTTAAAGTCAGTCCTGTGTTACCAGATGTCATAAGTTGTTAAGAACAGCATCTGAACACAATTATTTCTGAATTATTTAAGCCAACTATCTTTACCATTCTAAACGTTGTCACCAATTTATTCCATTCCCATCAAGAGATAATTTGGATATCAATTACATTAACATTTTAAATTAACATTAACATTAACTTTTTGGGGGGAGTCCTCACTATATGCCAGCTATTGTAGTAGGTGCTTTGCATGGATTTTCTCATCTAATCCAAAAAGGAAAAAAAAATGTATCCCCAGGATGCTACAATAGTAAACATGAAACAAAGACAACATTTATAGAATCCCTACACCAAAAAGGTGCAGCCTTCACGTTGAAGCAAAGCTTTCTTTGTCCTGAGACTTTATAAAGTGAGCGTATATTCCACGGGATAGCTGTTTTCTGTTGCCCGTGATCTGAGTGACCTGTGACTGGCAAGGCAGCCTGCAATTTCTAGGCGTGTTAATATATAGTACTTACCCTCAGAGGGTCTCTAGCCAGAGTTCTTTTACATCCGGTGAGCTGTAAAGAATGGGAGAAAGAGCATGACACTCTGCTCCTTCTAGTCCACTGGGAGAGAGAGAGACTGAGCCGGTCTTCACATGCTCTGCATTATAAGCGAGGGGGCGGGCAGGTGGAAATTCAGAATATTACAGAGACCGGAAAGAACATCATGGGCTGTCACACAGACGGAGCCAGCCAGACACTGGAGAGCTCTCATTTCCTCATTCCTTTTAGGGCAGCGCTGTCTTTTTTTTTCTCCTCCACTTCAAAGTAAAAAATCTGTAAACTACTAGGAGTGGAAAAGATGACATTAAGCCCATAGGTGAAGGCTCTGATTAATGTCATAGGTGGGATGTGTGAACAAGAAATTGTGTTATTCTGTGCATAAACATCACTTTATTTTCTAAAGTGGTAATTTCAAGTGCCTTTTTTTGCATCCTGTTTGGGTGCTGTTCCCCCTCCCACGTGCCATCCGCTCTGTCCACCAGCACCACACGTTGATTAGCATCCCTGGATGTGGGACACTGCTACAGAACCAGAAAGAAACCCAAGACAGTCCTTTCCTTGAGGAACAATCACCATCCAAAGCCACGTTAGTTTCCTTTGGAAGTAGGAAGAAAACTCCCTCGAGTCAGTTGTCAACACAGTAACCCCCTTCTCCTTTCTATAACTCCTGGTCAAAAGTATTGATACTTAATTTATAGTCAGAGCAGATGTCGTTCTGACATGGAAGGAAAACAAAAATTCCTTTGATCAGACCAATTTAAAGTAGGGAAGAGATGGTGAATTTCATTTGTGGATCACTCCTTCTGCATAAGAGAATTTCTGATCTTTTTTATAGATCAAGGGCAATATATGAAACCACTCAAATGCCTCAACATGAGAATGAATGCTTAAGTTGTGATCCATTCACATAGAGAATGAATGTTATATAGCACTGACAATGAATAGCCTATGGCTATAGCCAACAATATGGTTGGATCTCACAATATGACGTTGAGCAAAAGAAGCCAGACATGAATTAATTAATACAAAGCACAAAACTAGCAAAAGTCGTCTGTGCTGTTGGAAGCAAGAGTAGCAGTTTCCCAGAGGGGATGGTAGTGACTTCCAGGGGCCAGCGGGGGTTTGGTGATTGTCCATTCTTGATCTGGGTGGTGCTAGGCTTATGTGCACATTTCCTTATTTATGTTATTTTTCAAATAGCTTGGCTTCATTCATCATCAGCATCTTTCATTTTAAGACTTTTCCAGGCTGGGCGCGGTGGCTCACGCCTGTAATCCCAGTGCTTTGGGAGGCTGAGGTGGGCGGATCACGAGGTCAGGAGATGGAGACCATCCTGGCTAACATGGTGAAACCCCGTCTCTACTAAAAATACGAAAAATTAGCCAGGCGTGGTGACAGGCGCCTGTAGTCCCAGCTACTTGGGAGGCTGAGGCAGGAGAATGGCGTGAACCCACGAGGCGGAGCTTGCAGTGAGTCGAGATCGAGCCACTGCACTCCAGCCTGGGCGATTGAGCGAGACTGTCTCATAAAACAAAACAAAACAAAAAAGACTTTTCCATATTGTCACTTCTATTGTCATTTTACTGAAAGGAGGTGATTATGGGGGCAGACTTTGGGAAACTGAAGCACAGAGAGGTAGAAATTTGCTCTGTAACTCAGCGGCTCAGTGGGGACCTAGGGACAGATGCGGGTTTTCAGACTTCCAGCTGGACGCTCCCTCTCTTAAAGCCACCACAGTGCCAGAGTTCACCCAGTGTTCCCAGGGCAGCTGTAGAGGCCCCCGCTCTTTCAGCATCCCTCTCCTGCCTTTATAAACCTCCAAAGTGGACTCACTGATTTTTTTAATTGAAAAAGGGCATTTACGCTGTGCCCAGCCTAGTGCCAGGTATATAGTAGGTACTAAATAAATAATTTCTGAATGTATACATTTCCTTATAAAATAGTCAAAATAGAGTACTACTATAATATTCTATATATCATAGTATATTGTGATATCTATTCATCGTTGATATGTATTTTCTAAACAACTTTTTTCTGACAAGTGGACTTTTTAATTTTTGTAAGAAACTTAATGTACTTACTGTTCTTTCTTTCTTTCTTTTTTCGAGACGGAGTTTCGCTCTTGTCACCCAGGCTGTAGTGCAATGGCATGATCTCAGCTTACTGCAACCTCTGCCTCCCGGGTTCAAGT